ACCTTGTTATAATTACCATAGCATTAACATTGGTTAAGGTTTTGGTATGCGAATTTTACCATGAACAAAAATCATATATATATATATATATATATAAAACCTTCTGCTTTACCTTGTGAAAAATCACATTTTGAGCTGATACGATTTCACAGTTTAATGATTTTGTTACCCAGTTTACCTACCACACATGAACAAATTCATATATACAATACATACCTGTATTGTAACAAAAGAGACTAGATATTGTTACTTTGAAAGTGACAATTTCTGGGGCCTCCGTGGTGGTGCAGGGGTTAAAGACGTAGCTGTCAAGCTATTGCCAGCCTCTGCAGCAAGAGTTTGATCCCCAGCCAGCCAGAGAACAACCCACATGGCACAGTAGACCTCTCCTATCCTGCCCACTGCTCCCCTCAGCAGTGTATTTCAGTAGATCTGCCTGTTCTGCTCCCCACTCTCCCTGGTGAATCCTTCCACTCCCCCACACCTCTGGTCTACACCCCAGTTCTTGTATGCATAAATAAATTTTTTTTTAAATATAACCATTTCTAAGCCTTCTTAGAAATTTAGTTTGGGACACAGACATGGAAGGTGGGCAAATGAATTTACTTGGAGGTTGATGAATTGGTGGATGGTGTCAATGAAGTACCATAAGTATAACTTATGACTAATGAGATCTTCATAATGTATCCAAGTGTCACAACCCACTATGAACAGCTGGGACTGTTGGCATATTAAATACAAAAAAAAAGTTTATATGTCCTGTTAATAGATCAGACTTGAATCTTATATCACTTAAATGCTTATCTGAGAGGCAAGGAAGTTTGCAATAATCAGAGATGTTTTCTTTACTTCTTCCTTTATAGGAACACACACTCTTTAATTCTAGAAACAGTGATTAAGTAACAAGGACTGAACTACCTGTCAGGAGATAAAAGCTGACCGAGTATGCCCCTCTCCTGGGACTAGAGTGCAGTGTGGAAGAAAAAGAAGCAAACACAGTTCAGTGAGTTAGTTGCCAATGGTGCAGACAGTGAAAGATAAGATCTTTGTCCCTAATTCCCAGGCAGCCATCTGGCTGAGAATGCTTCAAGGCGAGATCCAGGAATCCAAGCCATGCCAGCTCTGCACACAGACAAGCACAAACTCACTCACCAGAGGAAGCAAGAGTGACCGCAAGCAGAGTTGAGAGTTTCCTCTAGAAATAATTCTTTGTCTTTCCCATACAGGGATACTATTGGGCAATGGTGATCCCATTGCTCCTGACAATAGATCAGGGACACAATTTTTTGACTCAAACATTTCTAAAGCTGGTGTTTCTAATCAGCCATAAGCAGCTCTCAACAGAATTCTCTAAGAAGAATGTCGACTTAAAGCAAAACATACTCCCACATATTTCATTCAAGTATAAGATAGTCAGGAATAAGCAAATTCGTAGTTCTCAAAGCATATTCCATGGACCAGCAGCATAAGCGTCATCTGGGGCCTTGTTAGAAATATAAAAACCTAGCTCCAGTCCTATTAAGAAACTCCACAGTAAAAAAAAAAAAAAAAAAAAACTCCACAGTAAAGTCCATAAATTTGTGTTTTAAGAAAACTTACAAGTATCTGTGATATTCAATAAAGTTTCAAACTAATTCAAATTGAGCTAATTCAAATTAAGGGACATAATCTTGTTACCAGAGTATTTAGTGATCTTAAATAGTTCTCTTGGCCTTTGTCTGAACAACAAAATTGACTAGAAGTGTCTCCTTTGCAACAGGAGAAACATGCCTTCAATGGAGAGGAGGCTGTGGGAGATGTTCCTCATCCAATGCATGCAAAAAGGATACTGAGACACTGATACAATTTAAAAAGAAAGGGGCTCAAAAACACAGTCTCCTGTTTTGTCCCATTTCTCATGCCTTAAGATGTACATCTGTTTCAAGTGCGCTCATGCACCTTAGTCTACAGTCAACTGCTGTCACAGAGTGAAGAGACAGGAAAGATAGGAAGAAAATGTGAAGTTGTAGTGATAGAAGAATCAGGCCTGGTGTCTTCCTGCTCCTCATACAGTTGCTCATTTGCCTTTTTTTTTTTTTTTAAATCTCCACATATGAGCGAAGTCATATGGTATTTGTCTTTCTCCATCTAGCTTACTACATCAGCATAACACCCCTGAGGTGAGAGTCACTCTGTGTAGCCAGGCCTCAGTGGTGTTGTGGTCTCATCGGCGATGCAGGCTGTTGCCCAACTGCTCTTCCAGGAAGCCTGGGCTTAGCTCTCTTGAAGTGTGAGGTGGAGACTGGGCTAATGGGTCACTGTGCTCAGAACCTGCCTTTAGGTGGCTCCTGTGCTGGACTTGGCATGGGACACAGACAACCCATCCAGCTTTTCTGCCTGACATTATCATCTCATGGCTTCAAGATAGCCCATCTGGATCACACTTTGAAAGACTGTCCCACCATCCTATGGGACATCCTCTGGGTTCTCTGCCCCAGGAGAAGACTAATGGAGGTCAGGCTTGAAGCAATAGGTACATTTGTCCTTGGTCCTGCTAAGTATAGCTTATACCAAACCAATGAGGCCAGACTGGAGATTCTTAAATCCTGTTTATCTGAACATGATTGGCATTTTTCCAGTTGTTACAGATAGTCAGTGTGGCATCTGATTGTAAACTAATTGCTTTTGATTCCTATTTGCCATTGTCTTTGGGTTCCCCTTAAGATCTGGCACATTGCTGAAGCAGAACTCAATAAATACCCAAAAACTTACACTGAACAACAACCACAGGTAGGGTGGCTGAGTAGTGGCTACTTGTGCTGCACTTCCTTGATCCTACCATGTGCCTACACATATGTGGCTCCTGAAGTCCCTGGCCACTCTCAGGTGGCCACCACTGTCTGCACACCTGCCTCCTGACTTCCTCATTTTATGAGGCTCTGGCCTCTTGACCGCCCACGTGGAAACCACAACACATTGTCATCTAGCATATGCAGGAGGTTAATGAAAGCTTCGTTAAATATGTAATAAAGACAAGAGACAGACCCCAAGAAAATGAAAGACTGATAGTACATGCTTGCTCTCTCTTGAGTATCTACTCCATACCAGATGTTTTGCAAACATTATTGTTCATCATGACTCAGTTCCTGCAGGGTTGATGCTATTGAACAGACAAGCACAGTGGAGGTCAGGGTTAAGGACTCTTGTCAAATCCTCAGCCAGAAAAAGGCAGATCTGGTGTTCACACTTGACAATGACACTGTGCTTCCATGCAGCGAAGGAGGTAGCTAGTAGCACAGTTAAGACAAAAGCACTGCTGCTCTGCTAGAACCTCTGTATACCCCTGGTACTTACTATGCACGCTGCCCACAGCACTATTGTCAGCTAGGGAACTCTGTTCGCAAGTGTCTTGCTTGCTCTCCCACTCCTTCCTTAGTCTTGTCCTAAAGATGCATTCAGGATCTGCCCCTCCTATCCCCAGCTCCTCAGAGCCCCCTCCAGTTTCCAGACATTTCCTGTTTTAATATTGCCACTGCCTCTGGGCTAATAGGAAATCAGTATAGGGCACTAATGTCCCTCCCCAGAGAGTTCCTTAAGGAGGTCATAGCCAGTGCTGAGCTCATGCTTTCCGAAGACCTTCACCAGGCTTCCCACAGTGGTCAGGAAGTGGAGGCAGATGAAATGATAGCTTGAAACCTCTGGAGACCCTAATCTCTGCCTCTTCAATTAATTGAATGCCGCTCTTTTAAATGACTGAGTCTTAGTCTCCTGGCTGGTCTTAACAGAACCACAAGTCTATAGCTTATCTCATCATACAGAAATGACGCTGCATATAATGGTACTGTAGGTAACAGTAGTAGGGACTGGAGCCTAAATGAGGTCTCAGGATAATCATCAAATCAGAGATAAGTACTTAGTAGGCAGAGCTTGATGCCAGACAAGCAGCTTGGCCTGCAGCTGGGTGAGCTCCCCTAGAAGATTAGAGAATTGGTCCCATGGATAAAGCCTGAGCACCCATCCACAAAGTGGTCGAGACCAGCCATGACACTAAGATGTTAAGAGATAATAAGTTTTGTATTACCAAAACTTTTCTAAAGAAAAGGAATGTATGTAGAAGACCCAAAATTCTGTTAATAAAAGTTTGGAGTGAGAAAACGGTACCCTCCCAGGTGACTTGGTGAAGTCATAATAGACAAAACTGCCTTGTAAAAGACTCTAACCTCAATTGACAACAGGGCTGTCCTTTCAAGAATGGGGTGTGCAACCTGGGTCAAGTGCGAGGAGTGACTGCTTACTACCCTCCAGTTGTCCTTCTTTTCTATCTTTCTCCCATGTGCCCATTCTCTGATGGGTGTAGAAGGGGCTCACAACTGTTTACCTGCCCAGAGTGTCTGCATATCTCTCTTCAGCTGATGGGAAAGGTACAGAGTAGTCTTATAATATTGCAATGTAAATCATTGCACCTTTTAAGTGCTAGGGCCCTGAAATCAATCCCTGATGGCTTCTTTTCTGCTCCCAATTGGGAATCAATCTGCCTGACCATCATACCGTTTCCATGGGTATCAGTTGGGAACAGGGACAGTTCATGGAACTGCCAACTGCCAACTACCTCACTTGTCTCTGCAGTGCTATCTTAACTTCTGTCACGCACAATTCTTTGTTAAATATGTTGGCATTTGGATGGTTGGATGAATGACTTGATGCCTAAAAGACTGGATGAATCAAGGAGTGCATGAATTTGCAAGATAGCTGCCTGTGGTAAGAGATAAAACTGTTACCCATGCAGTGTTGTTTTCTCTATACGAAACTACCACAGACACAAATGAGAAATGGAACCTTCAGCCTGGATCATGAGCTCACTGAGCTATTCTGCCCTGAAAGACAGCATGGCATAGATTAAGCCTGCATAGCTTGAGCCCTTCACTAGGTAATTATGACCAGGCACCTCTTGAGAGCAGACCTGTTGAAAAGTAAGTGGCTGGACATCTCTACTGACTTGTTCTTTTTTTTTTTCTTTTCAGATTATAAAGGAGGTCCCTCCACCCCCTGCTGAGGAGAGTGAGGTAAGTAACCGGAGCAGGGAACAGCCAGGTAGACAGAATGGTAAAGTAGGGTGGAGAGCTGGTTTGACTGGCCAAGATTCAGGCCCCTGCAAATCAGCACTAAGACAGGTCTAGGTTTCTACTGCTATGAAGCAGCAGGGGGGAAATCTTTGACCATTTCCAAATCAAGGATGAACAAGAACTGAACTAAACTGGAAGCCATAGACAAAATGGCTTTGGGAGGTTTTCTCTCTTCAAAGATAAAATTTGAGATACATACATTAATGCTTTTATCAATACAGTTATTTGGACCCCCAAGGTACTGATTTTTTTCTCTAAAGCAGATATATCAGTGTTCTTTTTTTCCCCACAAAGACTTATGCTACATGTGTGCATTAGGACAAATTTCCCACATTCTCCAATCAGTTGTTCTAGGTATGGCCTGATGTTGAAGTATTCCATTTTTCCCAACACAATGTCATGTAAAGATTTCCCAGGCAATGATGAAAATATACTGGAGGAGGAGATTCTAATAATACCCTGGCCTTGATCTCAAATTCTCATCATTTGAAGGGAATTTAAAAAAAAAAAACAAACTTAGACTCCACACCAAATTGGCCATGCACACTGTCCTGGTGCCAGTGTGACCTAGGGTAGAGTACAGTGGAGGAATTAAAGAATAATAGGGAGGAAAAGCCTTTGTAGATAGGTGTGCATAGCCAGTGACTCTCCTGATCCTCTGATCACTTCAAAGATAGCTGACCACCCTGACTGCAGCACTTAGAAACCAGGGTATAGTCTAAAAGGTCAAAAGATATATTTATGAGGTTTCAAGTTCATTGTCCTCAATCCCTAAGGTCTGTTGTGTGCAAGTTGAGCACCACCCCATCACCATTTCTCTTCCCAATGCCTTTGTCAAGCTTCCTACATACAGAAAGAATAATGATTAAATTTAAAATTCCATGTGGCTCTTATATCCTGAACCATAAGCATGTAAGCCAAGGGATTTAATAGCTGCAATCAATTAAAGCACATCTTGTTGGAATGCTAACTCTCTGCCCAGAAATCAAGGGAGGAAATTACATTGCTCTGCAAAGAGGAGAGGGGAAAAAAAAAAAACAAACCTCTTTACATCCACAAAAGCCTTTTCTTAATCCTTGAAAAGAAAGCACCGTGCTAGTTGCATGGATTCCAGTTTGGCTATATTTCTGTTCTGTGCAGCTGTCTCTTAAATTCCCAAAGAAAAACAGAGTGAGAAGTTCCCTTGAAGAGGAGCTCTGTTTGCCCTGAGGTAAAGAATGCTCCATCCTCTCATATTCAGTTAGAGTTGGTGCCCTTTCTTCTGGTACTGGCTCTGCATTTGCCTTTGGAGTAGGCCAGGGAACTCAGGTCCAAGACTGTGGGATCTGGGCTAGCCTAGATCCCAACATCTAGCACAGGGCACCACAGAAAGAACAAGCTCAATAAGTATTTATGCACTGAAGTACTATACTCATCAACACAATTTTGGGGGAAAAAAGAAAACTCCAAATCAGCAAGCCACTAAAAAAGGTAAAAGCAAGAAAGGTGGTTGGGTTTTTCATTTAATATTCTTATAGGAGTCATACTTTCACCTGAAGAAGGCAGATCTGGTTTCTAAGAATGACAACCTGGAGATACTTGAGATCTGAAACATTGTGTTAGACCTAAAAGAACTTCCAGGCTGGCTAGGGAAGGCCAACAGGCTTTGCTGATTATTTTAACATGTGTCTTGGCCTTGAGAGTTCCTTGGCCCTATGAATTAGGTGGCCCTAAGCTCCTTCTTAATGTGTTTTGGCAGAGAAAGAAATAAGAAAGAAATAATACAGAAACAGAAAGTGTAACTTAGTCCATGCAAAGTATTTTACAAAAAGCTCTGAAAATCAGTCTGACTCTAAACAGCCTTCTCTATTCCAGCTCCTGGTGTTCAAGCACAGCTGATGTGCCACTATCTCCACAAAACACACCAAATTCCTTCCATCAGAATTAACTTCTCTTCTCTCCCTTCTCTACTTACCCACAGTATTTTATTGGTTCTTCCTCATGCATCAAAGTTTTAGACCATTAACTACTTGAAGGTCAAGGTCTATGTCTAATTAACTTGAGACTTCAAGATCTCAACAAAAGCAAAGTAGCTCAGTTTTAATTAAGAGGAGGTATTGCTTGGGGTAAGTTCTTTAAGGAGCAGTAGAGTGATAATTCTCCATGATGTCTCCAGTTATTCCAAATAATTGACAATTTATGGGAGAATCCAATAAAGGGGTACTTCATCTGATGGCTTAGTTCTAAATATAATAACTTTCCATGGATTTTCTGGCTGTGTCTGAAGGGCGAGGGATATGTACTGAAGACATTGACACTGGATGGGCATCCAATCAACTATTAGGATCTGGCTTTGAATAATGAACTTATTCCAAGATTTATTATCATGCTCACTGATTCTGACAATGTCTTCGTGGCAAGAGATTTTTTTTTTTAGTGGGAAAACTTGGTTATGGAAAAATTATACAAGTTGTCTAGAACCAGACAAATTGAACTCCCTGATAGCAGTAGATTTGGTACTCTTCACAGCTGTGTCTGCATCCAGAGTAGCCTCTCACCCTGGAGAGGTGGAGGTCCATGTTATTTTCAGGCATCTTCTTTATACTCACCTACACTGATACTCTCTCTCTCTCTCTCTCTCTCTCTCTCTCTCTCACACACACTCACACACACACACACACACACACACACACACACTCTCAAAACAGAAGTCCTGGAACAGACGCAGAATCCAGTATTCTTTATTTCAACAGTTTAAAAAGGAACATTTCTAGTTTTTATTGAAGAATAAGGAACAATTGTGTTGTCCTTAATCATTGTGTATATATAAACAAATACAATGGTGCCAAACATGTTAAATGCAACTCAGAACAGGGAAATGTTAAGTTATCTGGGAGTTTTTTGTATTTACAAATGGAAATGTTGCTGGATTTCTCTGACTTGCCAATTCACTCCAAGACAGACATTCATGGTGATCTCTGACTTATCCATAAAGGCTTGTAGTGAGTTGATACAGTCAGTTCTACTTCAGCTTCTACCCTCTAAAGCCTCAAGACATGGGAGTTTCTATGGCTTTAGTCCTTAATTTCATGCCATCACGCTCACAAAAATTATTCCTCTGTAAATGTAAACAATCTTGTTCATAAGCTACACCTTTTTTTTTCCTGAGAATATAATATTGTGCTGGCAAGCAGAGGGGACTCAACTACAGTTGCCTAAGTGAAGTAAGGAATGGACATATAAATGGCCCTTCTTTGGAGCTATATAGAGTTTATCATAAGGATTTAAGATGTATTGCAGTTCAATAAAATTTAAGGTGAATTCAGAGGCCAATTTAAAACTATTTGTTTCAGTTATATTCTCCCTTCCAGAGAGTTCCCATTGGTAGCACAGTAAATTGGGTCACTAAGAGTCTATGTAAGTCAAACTGGCCATATGGTTTTCCTGGCAATTGGATATCAGAGAATCAGGAAGGGTGTAGTCTGAGAGGGCCACCATATGCACAACTCCAGGTGGCACTGTTAACATTAAGTCTATGGAATTGTCCAGAGCACCATCTATATGGAAGAATAAGGCATCCCTAGGATCAGAGAACTTACCCCTTCTATTCACTGGTTTGCTGAATAAGTAACTAATTGTTAAATATTTGTTGAGTGAACGAAGGTCAGTATAAGGAGCTATAGGGAACTCAAGAAGGGAGCACTGAATTCCCTGGAGAATCAAGGCATTCTTCACAGAATAGGTTATATTGAGCAATATCTTAAAACATGGGTTGAAATGGGGGACAGGTTTTCCAATCATATGGAGCCATGACTGTTGAAGTGTGGAGCTGTACTAAAGCCTGAAATGACTGAAAATATGGAAAATTTCAGTGTCTGAGTGTAGCACATGACTAACCCAATTATGGACCTGCCAGATGTGTGCATCACACTTCATATTTTACAGCTGTTTCTTCCTAGAGCAGGATTGACACTGAGGGCACACCCAGGTCTGTGTGAGGACAAGCAGGTCAGGAGGGGCCTCTGCCATCTGAGTAACGTGCTGCCACTTGTGTTACCCAAACATCAGTCAACTGGACATCTGGGCCACCACATCCTTTAAGATTTAAACATAACTTCCCCTGATGGGAAACAAGCACCCCTCCCTAATCTCTACGGTTTCTCCAGCACTGCTACTCCTACTTCTGGCTTCTTCTGTAATATCTTCTTCTTTTGCTACACACCATCTTACAAACACAATTCCTACACTCCCCCAAAGGTAACACTGCCACTAGGCTATCGGCTTAGGGAATTTTGATGAGGATTTATAAGTACAAGTGGGTTACAATGCAATGCAGCCAGAAAAAATAACTTTGGACAGAATATTACACCTCTTCTTTATTATCTATCATTCCCATTACTGAGAACAGTGGTCCTCTCCTCAGGTGGACCTTGGCAATTGGCTGGTGACTCAATTCCACCCTTTTCTGCTGTCTTCAACTGTCTGCCCACCCCTTCCTGATTCCTACTACTTCACTCACGCAAAGCAATTCAGCTCCTCCAGTTGGTCCTCTAGTAACCATAGAGGATTTCTACGCTGGTGGTTCTCCCCCTCCCTGCTACCTCCTTGAAGAGCAATGTGAGGGGAACTTCCCAAGAGCCTTTCTACTTAACTAGATGCTGCAATGTTCTTAGTGGAATTGCCGGGGACTGTGATTTTTCTCCACCAATTTTGACCAAATGGAAAGACACATCAAAGATTCCCTTCTCTTTTGAAGATTGCAAAACCTTCCCGTCTCTAGAATGTATAAACAGAGCCATGGTAACTGCAGGGAAATTCTGACTGTCCCGTTGCTCAGACTCTGGGTCTTTGTGCTGTCTTTTGCTGTTGTTGGATTTTGGCAGGCAAGCTAGGGTCAGGGGATTAAAAGGTAGACATGTTAGATCAGAAGCCTGAGGAGCACCTGCATATATATAAACACACACATACACACATACATACACACATATATGTAATGTATATATATAATGAGATATATTAAGATATATTAATTTTTTAATTAAAAAAATTTTAAAGACGTCTGTATATCCCAAGCACAACAGGTCACTAAACAGGTCTTCATGTGTTAATATGGTAATGTGTTTTTCTTTGTTACCTCTGTCTCTGATTTCTGTTCTGCTCACCTCTTGCCGCTTGCATTGGGATGCCCTATTCCACACAGTGGTAGCCTGCATAGGACTTCACCATGAATCTGTGACTCCCCAAATGCCACCCACACAAGCCTGTGGGAAGTAGCCTGGTTTTGAGCAATTTCATCCACATTGGCTCATTCCTCTCCTTTGTAGACAGACACCTTTTGCGGCTTCCTTTCTCTACCCAGAAAAAAAAATCATCCACTGCCCTGTAACACATCTAGGACTATAGCTGGTGATATCTTTCTCCCCACAACAGGAATTGTTAGGGGGAAAGGATGTCCTGAACGAACTCCACAAACACAGGTTTTATGGACTCCACCCACCCCAGACCAAAGAGATCCAATACACCAAGTATTACAAATCCCAAAATGTCATCACCACTGAATGGAGGATTGCTGGGAACTGAGTGTGGCATTAAGCAGCCAGGCTTGGTACATAACCAGACATGTGTGCCTTGTGGGTTCTTGGTTTTATGTCAGCCTTCAGCATGCTCTTGGGCCCATGCTATTGGGGCCCATGCTATTGGAACTGGTAGAACACATTCACCAATTTATCTCTCTCTCTCTCTTTCTCCCTGGGTTATTCCTTTCTTCATTTCCCCTTTTTTGCAAATAAACCCTTCATTAGACTTTTTGTGTGTGCCTGAAGTCAAGTCTCATTATAAGTCCCTTTAAGCATGTGGGTGGCTGAGGACCCACACTCAGGCCAACCCATTTCACATTAGGGTTGCCCTATAACAGAATTACCACAGTAACAATGTGAGGAACAGTTTTGCTAATTATCCTTCCCCTTTTCATCCATAAAGTTATAAGTTCCTCTTGTTTTCTCCCTTCATTTTAAAAATATAATAAGCACTAACTTCCTGTCACTGAGCTAAGTTGCAGACAGTGAGATAACTGCTTTACATAAATAGCTTCATTTCATTTATTTGTAAATTCAACAGATAAATCTTGGACACCTACCATGTGCCACTCTAAAAACTGAGAATACAATAGTAAAGATGAGAAGTAAACAGAAGCTTCCAAAGAACTTACATTCCAGCATGGGGAGACAGACAATAAATAAATGTCAAGCCATGATAAGATCCATAACTAAAGATAAAACAGATTGATGGGCTGAAAAGACTGGGGCTACTTTAGAATAGGATATCCAGGGAAGGCCTGTCTGAGCAGTGATAAGAAGATACAAAACCATGAGAAACCAGAGAAAAGGCATTCCTACCAAGGGAACAGATGCTGCATAGTCATGGAGACAGGAATGTACTCAGATATTTCTGTCTGAGGGCAAGCAGTCTGAAAGGCAAGAAGGAGGTATGCATGGTAAGGAACAAGGCTGTTAGGTAGGCAAAGACCAGAGCTCTCAGGGCAGAGTGGAAGACTGGTTTTATTCTGCTGCTTTGTAGAGAACAGATTTTAGGTAAGAAAGAGGAGAACACGGTAGTCAGGAGGATATGGCAGGAGAAAGACTGCAGCTTGGGACCAGGGTGGTGGGGGTGGTGATGGAGGTGGAGAAGTAATAGGCTTGGGATCTTTTTAAAGTAACATCAACAGAATTTGTTGGCAAATTGAGATGGGTGGGGGTGGGGCAGGCAAGGAAAAAGGATTTAAGGGTGACTCCCAGGTGGTAGAGAAAACTGTGAAAAGAGCAGGTATGAGGTAGAGAAATCAGGACTCCTCTGTGACATCTCTCTTGAAATGTAGCTGTCAACCTCAAGTCCAAAGTTAACAAAAGATTCAAGGGTGGAGATTCACAGGTCATCAGCATGTAAATAGGATTAAATAAACTACCGTGCAAAGGAGTGGAGAGGCAGGATTGCATCACAACTTTACCAGATAGAACCTCTTTCATCCCCACTTTCCAGATAAGAAAAAATAGCTTAGATACGTTAAGTGACTTGTCCAAGCTCACACTAAGCAGTTATTTGAAATTTTATTCAAGCTGTGTAATCGTATCCAAACCACCACAGTCAAAACACACATACATATAGCAATGAGGTTTTGCTTCCTTCATATGTCACATCTCTCTGCAGGAAGAAGATGATGACGGTCTGCCTAAGAAAAAGTGGCCTACAGTAGATGCCTCTTATTATGGTGGGCGAGGTGTTGGAGGCATTAAAAGGATGGAGGTAAGAGGGCAGCTTAAGTTCCCATTATCTGTGTGCTGATTGGATGTTGGCAAACCACAGCAAACTGGTGACAACTCACACTTAAAGTCTGGTGGGATGTGGCTCATGAGGCATCAGATGAAGAGAAAGCAAGTACAGCCTTTTAACTGTGCTCATCTGCTCAACAGCACCCCCACACCAGCCTCCATGGTTTCTTCTCTTACTGGAATAAAATGCAAAGAGCTTACCTAGATCTGCAAGGTCTTCACAGGTGCTGTCCGGTGTCCTAGATAGTTCCTACCTATGGCTTGCTTTCTGTGCTCCTTTAGTTCTCATTCTTTCCCCTTTTCCAAACCCCGCCCCTTCCCTGGCCTCGATGTCCAAAGGAAGGAGGATTAGATAGCACGTATGTTACAAATCACACTTGTGTTTGTGATTCCCATCCATGAGGGGCATCATATTTTATTTTGTCATTTTGTTTTATGTTATTCTTTTAGGTTCGTTGGGGAGAAAAGGGCTCCACAGAGGAAGGTGCTAAGTTGGAAAAAGCAAAGAATGCAAGAGTCAAGATGCCAGAGCAGGAGTATGAATTCCCTGAACCTCGAAATCTCAACAACAACATGCGCAGGCCCTCTTCCCCACGGAAGTGGTACTCTCCCATCAAGGTGTGTCCCTTTCTACTCAAAAATTCTTCCTCACTCTGATAAAACACTTCCATAGTAATCTGACTTTTGATGTGATAAAATATCAAACCAAATTCCAGATTATTGCAAAGGAACAAATTTCTAAAATCATGGACTTGAAAGTATAGGTACTTACTTTTCAAATTCCACATCATCAAATTTGAGAATTAGACTATTTAAAATCAACATGGCTCTCCCTGAATCATATACCTTTCTACAAACCAATGTTACCTCAATAATAAAAAGAAAAGAAATTTATTAGGCACTCATAACTTTAAATAAAACCACTGTGGCACAGTAATGGGAAGAAAGTGGGTAGTAACCCCATAGGACCATTATAAATTTCTGTAACATTCTACAACTTCATTGGAGGGCAGTCCCACTACCCAACAAAAATGTAGAATTCGCCTTGATGCCTGATCTCTCTTCTTGCCATGACATAAGCTCATTCCCTTTAACCCAAGACTCCTGCCAGTGCCTCAGGACACACTAGTAGAATGGATCACTGGCGATGGATCAAGGACTCACTGTTGCTGACTGTGAGCAAAAACTCTGTTTCTCCACCATCTCTCTTCCACCCATAGGTCCAAAGCTTAAGACCTTCTTTAGCTCATTAGGAAGTTTAAGCCATTGGAGGCAGTTAATGCTTCCTGAAGACCTCCTTTTCTTTTCCTCTTGGGTGGAAATATTTGAATTTACATGATTCATTCAACACCCTTGCTCTTCAGCCTTGCACCATGTCAATTGTCAGGGAAGAGTAGAAAATCATAGCTGAAAAGACTCACATAATCTGCCTCCACTCCCTCATTTCCTACAGGAGAAAACTGAGGTAAGCAAAGTCCTTGCTCTGCCCAGGTCTGGAACTCAACATTCCAATTCAGGTCTATAGCCTGCAGTTCTATGCTACAACCAACCGGGTCAGCTCCAAGGCATCAAGTGAATATAAGAGCCTGTTCTCATCACTAACACACACACACACACACACACACACACACGTACACACACACACACACACACAGAGTCTTGTTCCCTCCTCTAGTGACAATAAAAATAACATTCATTATTCCCTGAATTATTTACTAATTTTAAACAGTGGAGAGAAACTTTATTGACGATTGTCTCTTCCCAGCTGAGCTAGCTCATGCTCACACTGATTACAACACATTTTCATTTTGGTTTGCTATGTTTAAAGCAGAAAGATTCTTTTTTAAGATAAGCACCCCTGGGGCAATGGGTTGAACTCTAGAAAGATGTGGGCAAAATGTAACTTGCTTGACTAACAGCTGTTTGCTTCTAATTATTTTCTAATGCTGAGCATGCAGTGGCGTGCCTGCATGTGCAGACAGGAAGGAGCCAAATAGAATCTCAGAGATGAAGAAGAAAGGGGATTTTCTTATAATGTCTTTTTTAGGAATCTGCACCTTGTGAGCAATACAACATCTTTGGTTACAGCAAGGTTTTCATTTCTATAATCTTGGATGTTGACAGTACTTTATTTTGCTTGAAGAATCTACTTTCTGCTGAGAGCGTGCTATTGGCTTATTAACTGGTGATTGAGGACTAGTTTGTGAAATAAATAAAGAAATGAACAGCTAGGTTTACAAATCTAAAAACATTTCCAATGCCCACTTGGAATTAGGATCAATTCAATGAGTATATGCTATTCCCCTACTCTTTGACAGGCACTGCCAGACACTGAGTTTACGGAGGTGTTCAAACCAGGCTGAGTGTCAGAACCACCTGAGAAAGTTTTAAAAACACAGACCCCTAGGTCTGACATCTCAACCTTAATGACTCAGAGTTTCACAAAAGGCTTTCAAAGGCATTCTGACTTCACAGTGCACCCTCTTTCCCCATCATGGGAAACTTTTTCTCCAATGCTTCCCTTTTCAGATTTCACATCCAAACTCCCTAAGCATTGTTCCTCTTTGCCCCCATTATCACTCCCTCCATAGCTCCTGCTCTTCAGCCTAATTATTGGATTAAACCACCAGTGCTCCAAAGTGAAAATTTACATTTTTGAGGCTCCATTCCAGATCAACTGACTGAGCAACCCTTGGGGTAGGGCCCAGCAATCTGGGTTTTAACTAGTCCAGTTAAGAAGTTGTCACAGAAAGTTCTAACCAGTCTTTTCCAGTTCCCTAAGTCCAAGAACTGTGGTACATGTTAAAGAGGCTATAATCACATCTTGGCGATTTGTCAGGAGTCTCAGCAAGGGGACCCATGTTAGGTTTTACATGGGTCCCGTTTTACCACAAACACAACTGCTAAATTAATAGTAAGTGGTTGGGAATCTGAGTGTCAAGCATTCACTGAAAAACGCAGATGGAAAAGACTCAGAAGCCAGTAGACACTCTAGGCACCTCAGCAGGACTTCCTTGTACAGACATGAGACAGTGTGACTGTTCCTCTCACTGGCAGAGCCACTCGTTCCAATGCTGACTCAGCTCGCTCTGCCAAATAGGAGATGTACATATCACCCACTGGAGTAATTGCTCATGTTTATGAGTCTTCTCTCCACCAGAATTGAGCCTCTAGAGGTACCAATTATGCTTGAATTATGTTTGAACGGCTAGTAAACAGCATGGTACCTGGCACAGAGGGGACTCCACCATCTCTAGTGAATGAGCATAAGATGTAATTATGAAACCACACCCAGAGCCTCAGACCAGCTAGACCATCTCCTGTGACCCACGTGGATCCCTTTGGTAATCTCTGTCCAAGGAAACGGAAACAGAGGTCATTTTATGTGTATCTGGGTGAGACAGATGAGGAAAAGGCAGGAAAATGGAGTTTTGAAAACAGAAGCACAGAAAGGAATTGATAAGTCATAAAGTACTCGGTGTCCAGAATGGCAGACTTGCTCCCAAAACTTCAGTTTCAAACTGTTTTAACATGAGGTCTGCTCCATGATGAGCCCTATTCTAGCCACAGTGCCACAGGGCATTCGCTCGGCTTTGGACAAAGCACTTAACCTCATGTGGTTTATGTAACTGTAAACTCTATTTCCCTTTCCTGAACCCTCTCACTGATTTGTCATGGTCCTGGCAGGAAACAGAAAGCACATTCAAAAGGGTTGAACTAACACAGGTGCAGGCAGAGTTAAAGAACCCACAGGTTTGATGAGGCACACAGAACTTGCAAGTTAAAGCTGTTACCTGTACCCTCCTCTACCCAGGCCTAAAAGGCAAGTAGGCAGATGAGGACTGGAGCCAGTGAGAGATGCAGACCTTGGGAGAAGTGACCCCTTAGGAGCTGTGGTCACAGAGAAGGGATTAGCAATCTATAAATCTGTCCTGCCACTTGTTTTATCTGACCCACAAGCTAAGAATGGTTTTCTATATTTTTAAATATTTATATAAGTGCCTGCATAATATCCTTGAGTTTGCTTCTTGACCTCCAAATCATAAAATATTACTCTTTGGTCCTTTACAGAAAATATTTGCAGACAATTCTATGAAGGCAGCCACTGTTGGGGGCAAGGGTAGCAGGAAGGAGCAGAAAGAATAAAAACCTCAACCTCTGCCTCATCTGACCCTCTCATCTCCTTCTGGTGCCACCTATTGGCCAAACCAAAGGGAAGTCAGATGGTGTCATCTGTGGAAATTGGGCTTCCACAGCACAGAGCAAAGAAGGCAGAGAATGGACAGCAGCGAGTGACTCATGGAGAATAATCAGGCCACTTTCTGCTCCCACTCTCTGCCGAGGGCAAAACTTGCAGGATGTCCTGGGAAGACTCCTATTTCCCCAGTAAAAGTGGTCAAAATCATGTACATTTTAAATGTATTGCATTTAACTCACTTTTTTTTCTTGCATTTTATGAAATAAATTTAAGAAACAGAAGCAGATGAGCACATTTGCTAAGCAAACCCAATGGAAACTCGTCATGAGATGTCCACAATGGACTTCTCTCCACCGTCTTTCCAGTCTAATTTAAGGCACTGACCACACCAACCACACTTCACCCTTTTCTCATTCCAGGCTCATGATCAGGAAATTTTCCAATATTTGGCCTGAATTTTCCTTTGCTCAGTTTTCACCCCCTGAGATTTACAGCACCCCATGCTTCTCATGAAGGCGGGATTGACCATTTCAGACATATTAAGTAATACTCAGATGTATGGCCACCAGATAGATTAAAACCAGAACTATTTCAGGTTGGTTGGGAGGCTTGCCGCCCTTCAGAGGAATCATTTTTCTCCCTTTCCAGTAGCTCCTCCACATGACTGGAAATGACAGAGATGACAGCCAAAGGACAAAAGCCGGACCCTGGCTGGCTGGGCAGTCTGGCTGTTTTTGGCAAGATGTTCAGACCATGAAGGGTTTGCCTGTGCTACTTGCAGGACCTGGGAGGGATGGTCTTCTATGCATTTTCTGTCAGGCCAGTCTGCCAACTCTGGCCTTAAGGACCTTGACCTTGTAATCAATAGCATTCAGTCATGAAACTCTGCTACATGAAGCTGTAGGTAGCCCAGCAAGACACACCAAAACTTCAAGTGCTGTAGACCGCCTGCTGATGTCAAACAGATTTTTTTTGTCCGTCTCTGACTGCTTTGTAGAATGGCTCCAAACTTTTTTAAAACAATGATTAAGAGAGAAAAAGAGCTAGACAAAAATTAACATGGGGGCAGAGGGAGTTTTTAACTTTATGTGTTAATGTATTTTATTTGCAGGGAAACATAAATCACATTACTTACCATATATTTTAACATATAAAAATCCAAGTGTTCATCTCTAATAACCCTATAAGTTGAACTACCTTCACCATCTTCAACCTCTGATTAACTTCCAATTCTCTAAAGCAGACACACCAGAAAAGAAGGCACAGCTGCTGCCTGGTCAAAGAAAAAAAGAAAGAAAACCCAGCCACAAACCCCACACACCAGGGGGCTTTGAATGATGGCCAAATAAACATTCCCAGCAGTCTTAATGCTTAGGAAGAAACAAAAGCTAGAGTTTACATAGAACTTCCAGTTTGCCTG